TCCACCTGCCTCTGCCCCCGAGTGCTGGGATTAAAGGCGTGCACCACCAACGCCCTGCAAAATAAGGTTTCCAAAGATTTTGATTTTCCTTTTATAATGGAAGATGAAAAATAACACAGGAGTAAGCCAGATTCAGATTGGCATAAAGTCTAGAGCCAGTGTCCTGAGAGGAGTTGCTTCCTAGTATCTCTAGTTCCCAAAGACTCTGAGGCCGATTCACAACTTTGTGCCCTGGTCTCACTTCCTGTTTCCTGTTTGATGGCCACAAACCCGTGTCCCCATCACGATGTATCATGCTGTTTTTATTTTTATTTGTGCGTCTGCAGACCTGTGAGGCTGTAGTTAGAGGCAGTTCTGTGCTGCCTGGACGGAGTCCTGGGAACTGAACTCTCTTCCTTCACGTAGGCAGCCTGTGCTCCTAACGGCTGGACCACAGCTTACATCCCACTGTGTTCCATGGAATTTGATTTTTGGGTTTTTTGTTTTGTTTTGTTTTGTTTTTTTGTTTTTTGAGAGACGGTCTTGGAATATAGCTCAGGATGACCTGGAACTTGCTATCTTGTCCACGTTGGCTTCACAATTGTGGCCATCCTTCTGCCTAAGCCTCCTGAGTACTGACATTACAGGCATTTGCTGTCACCCTTGGCCATATCCTGGTTTTATTGCTGCACAAATATGACTAGAGGATACTAAAAAGAAGTGTACATCTCTGAAAGTGGAAACCTTATGCATTTATTTCACTATGCTTTTTCCTCTGCTTTCCAATTATTTTAATACAGTAGTTGTTGATTTTAAAATATACCTCATATAAAAATCTTCTTCCAATTAGAGTGGAAACCAGTCTTTAGTGTTTCTCGATGCTGTTTCATCATTCCTTTGGGGATACCCTTTTCTCTGGTCTTGGTCCCTGCTGATTCAATCACTCCTGTCCTGGGTGTCATCTCTTGACACTTCTTGTCCCTCTGCCTCCTGCTCTGATCCTTCACCCACTCAGCAACAAACTTTCTTATATTTACTGTTGTCCTGTTCCCAAAGTCCATTTGTCCCCAACTCTACAATCAGGTGCCAGGCTCCTCTTCACCGTGGCTGACACTCCCTCCCAAGCCCTCCAGTGCCTTTGCTTCCTGGGTCGAGTCACCACTGGAGCCATTCTGCTGCTGTAAGCTTGTGAGCCCCTGGTCTCCAGGACGGCACCCTAGCAGGCCTGTTTGTCACAGGCGATAGGATTCTGGTCCCTCGCACCTGCTTCCTTCCTCCCTTGTCCGTCATTCAGTCCCTAAAGTTCTCTGCATCTCCCCTGCTTCTGAGACAGGGGCTTCTCCACAGCCTTCTCCTCCTCTGCGGTCTCTGTAGACAGCTGCCTCGCTGGCACTCCCTGCTGCTGTTAGCTCTGCCCTATGGCAACAGAATCCTAATTGACCTCCCACCTGCAATCTTTTCCAGCCCATTAACCCATCCGCCACAGCTCCGGCAGCTCTGCTCATTTATTTCACTCCCCTGCTGAAAAACAAAAATCTCTCATCGCCTCCACCGAAACCTGCCTTGGGAATCCAAGATTTTCCAGAAACAAGGCCCCAACTTATCAGATAATGTCACCTCCTGCCAAACTGCCCCCTGCGCAGACTTGGGGCTTCCTTTCCATTCCAGATATTGTGCTTATGACTGTGCTCCTCCAGAATTCTTCTCCTGTGCTCCCGACTTACTCTTCAAGGTCCTGCAGGTAGCAGGACCTCTGTTCACCTGGCACTGATGCCCACAGGGTGCCCCCTCTCCTTTGCAGGGTTAACTTTGCCACTTCCCTCCTCTGTGCTATTGCTGTACAGTATTTCAGTGAATATGTCTTGCAGCCACAAAGCACATAGTGAGTCTGCTACTGCAGGCTGCATGGGGAAATGCAGGAGTACCTACCAAGGTGTCAGGAAAACTGCAGCAGTATCCATTAACGGCAAGCACTGTGGCAACTTGGAAACAACACTGGTTGTTCCAGGATATCAACAGTTTGGCTGTGTCTTATGAAACACGGCTTCACTGTTTTTCAGATTTATAGGTATCTGCAGACTTTACCGATTAAACAACCCTAAGCTGAACATGCATTCGCCCGAATGCTGGAACCTTTAGGCATAAACACCAAGCTTGCAATATTTTCAAGTCTGGAGCATCTCATCTTTCTTTCTTTCTTTCTTTCTTTCTTTCTTTCTTTCTTTCTTCCTTTCTCTCTCTCTTTCTTTTGAACTGCATGTGGTTTTGTGTGTGTGGAACATATAGTGTTTATGGATTCGTGTGTGTGGAACATGTAATGTGTGGATTGAATGGGCAAACTGCTCTATCATCCTCTACACTCTGTCTTAGGACAGAGTCTCTCACTCAGCCCGGTACTAGGCTGCCAGCCAGTAAGACGCAGCAGTTACTTCCTGCTCTGGGATGGGTTATAGGCACGGGCATGACACACCTGGTTTTTTACACAGGTGCTGAGGATCTAAACTCAGGTTCTTCGGCTTGTCAAGTAAATGAACTGTCCTCCCAGCCCCACGTTTCAGATTAGAGAAGGTCAAACTCCATATTATAATTATACATTCTTTTAAATGTGTATGCTGTTAATACATGAGGCTTACTGGACAATATCCATGCAGTTCTGCTGTGTCACGCCACCAAACTCTAAGGACCAGGGTCAACACTGAACACAGCACTACTAACGTTAGAAACTAGGTAGGGGTTAATTTAATGCCATACTTTTTAAAAATTTATTGTTTTTTTTTAGAATTGTACCATTCCCACTGGCACTTTTGTAATCAGCAAATTTGAGGCTGTCAACAATGAGCCTGTGTAATTCGTGGACATGAGCTAAAGTTAAAAAAAAAAAAAGTGGATTCCTAAGTCAGCAGAAACTGTATGTGTGCAAAACAGATCTTAAGTGAATATTGACATAATGACACTATAACAGTAACTATTTTCACTGGTTCTAAGCTTGTTGCTGGTTTACTGATTGTCCCGCATTTGTTCATAAATGTCACTGCACCGACAGCTCAGGAGCTTTTCAAGCCAACCTCTCTGATTTACTGCGGTTTGGTGGAACCAAGAGTGGCACCCTTTTTCAGAGACTGAAATGGTGCTTGACAACTGAAACCACAATTTTGTGGAGCAAGGCTGCAATGATTTCTCAGGTTGGCTGCACTTCCCACTCAAAGTGCAATGTCAGGTTCTGTAGAACGTGTGGACGCTCAGGCTGTAAATCGGACTGACCAATGTGTCCTAAAGTAGGAGGGACAGCAGATGTTTCCATGCCTATTCTGTGAAACTTAACATACGGCTGAGCTACGGGCCCTTAAAAGAATAACAGATCCGAGATAATTCATGGCAGTGGAATTACTGATATTTAAACAGATGTCACTTTTTTTTTTTTTTTTAGGGAATGGAAATTAAGGTGCAGATGGTAAGGGATGGGTAGCCATTGTGGATTAAAAGATCTACATTTAGAAAATTAAATATCACAAACTTTATAATCATGTCCACATTTCTTCTGAACTAAAAAGGAGGAAAACTTGGGTCTCTGGGCTCCTGGCTACTTAGGAAGTCAGACAGTATCTCCCCTTTCATTTTGGCCCATTTCCTTTTTCGTGAAGCTTAGGAAGAATTCTCCATCGTTAGTCTGTGTTGAAGAGTGAACGGTCCATCATAAAGGGGGTAAGAAAAGGCCGCACCTCCATGTCCAGGACCTTGTGGAAGATGGCCTGGGCTAAGCACTCCCGGACGTGCTTTTGGTGATCCTGCTTCATGGCGTTCACTTTGTATTCCTTTTCAGAAAGTATTCTTCCACTTCTTGTGATCTGTGGTGAATAAATAAAGACTGTGAGTGCATAAATAAAATATACACGGAAATATAAAATAGGAAAATGTGATGTTAGGTACCAAAAAAGATGGGGGGGGGCGGGGAGAGATTGGTCTTTTCAAAGCCTAAAGGAAAATACCATTGTCCCTAATGAACTTCTGTTTTTAATGAATATTTCATCAGGCAGAAAGGAGAAAGGAAGTCTCGCGTACCTGTCAGTGTGAACACACAGGTGGTACACTTGACGTTTAAAACAAGGTTTTCATTAGGGCAACAATTTCCCAGTGATGGAACCCAGGTGTTCTTTTCAAGCTCCTGGAAGTACCTTGGTGAGGGAGGGCCTGAGCTACCTTCCAGGAGCACACAGGAGTGGTGCAGCGACTGCAGCTGGCAGGAAACACCAGCAGCAGCGTGAGGCCGGCAAGCCGTGGTGGAGAAAGCCTTTGGTTTGTCTTGAGAAATAATTGGTTTCATTACTTTGTTTGCTCCCTGGTTTTTCTTCCTGCACTTTCCAGGCCAGGATGTAATTTAATTTGCTATGATTTAGAGTTTTATGGCTCATGCAGGATGTGGGTAGATGGTTTTCGATATCGGTCACAGCGGGATCTGTGTGTCTGTCCCTGGAGGAGCTGTCAGTGTCGCCCTCCTCGCCCTTTGCTTCCATAGAGTCTCTAAGAATACTTGCTGCTGCCCTCTGCTCTCTCCTGTGACAGAGGCCACATCCTTCCTGCTGTTTGTTTTCCTCTCCACTTGGATCCTCCTCAGTTTTAACACAAGCCACTTTAACGCTTAGTTACATGTCTGTGTGTGTGTCTGTGTGTGTCTGTGTGTGTCTGTGTGTGTGTGTGTGTCTGTGTGTGTCTGTGTGTGTCTGTGTGTGTGTCTGTGTGTGCCTGTGTGCATGTGAGCTTGGGTACCTTGACGCCTCAGGTGTTAGGTGTCCTGGAGCTGAAGTTGCAGTGCTGGGAACAGAACTCAGGTACACGCTCTTAACCAGGGAGCCCTCTTTCCGGTCCTCACGTTCATATTGTTCATAGTCTTAATTTCCTTCCTCATTTTTAGCGATAATTTTTATACTATTGTTGCGACACAGTACTTCAGATAACCCTCTGACAGGGTCTAGAATGTACTGCTATGGGATTTCCTGTCTCCGGAAAGTGTCTAATGTTAGGCCATCCTGACTGTCATCTCCATTCCGGTGGCATATGTCATCGTTATCCCTTCTCTGGGATTATGTGTGCTCTCCCCAGCCAGACAGGAAGCTCCTGTAGAGCTGCAGTGCTTAAACTTGAGTGAGGTGGATATGAATCACCCACAGGGGCTGAGAAATAACAAATCCCGCAGGTCTGGGGCTTCATACTTACATTTTTAAGAAATTTCCATGTGAAACTGCAGGCCACAGGGCTGTTGCTGGATCCCTTAATCTAGAGAAAGGGCCGTGCCTTCCTTATCTGAGTTGCTAGGCTTTTAAACAAGTGTTCCTTAAGTGTTTGGGAATGGTGTTAAGTAAACACTGTGTCCTCCCAACTAGTATCATGCTCGGCCTTGCTCCTAGTCACACGGTGATTACATGTCAGGGTTCTAACAGTAATAGCCATTCTGAGGGCAGGGCATCATTGTCTTCATTTCACAATTGAGGAAGCTGGGCTGCAAGGGGTGTGAGGTGTTGTCTGGTTCCTGGCAGAGCCAGGTTTCAGCTGACCATTCTGATAATAATGCCCCAGGAGGCTGAGAAGTACTTCTGTCTCCAGCTCCACCCAGGTAGTGCCAAGCACACAAACAACAATTAGAAACACAATACGGTTCTTTCAATACCAAGACAACATTGTACTTTAAGAAAGCAAACAGCCATCACTGTCGAGAACCACACCCCTTTTCTTTCAAAGGAAAACCATAGGGTTTTTTTTGAGATACATTTCCCACCCTCTACACATTTAAAGGAATGGAAATTGCATGGGAAGAATGGCTTTGAAGCCATGGAAGGCATTGAGGTATCAATAAACCATCATAGGAAAATGAAAGTGCGCTCGCGAGCTCACACACACACACACACACACACACACACACACACACACACACAAGAGGAAGCAGTGTTCATGTTTGCTACACGATATTCTGTCAGTATTAAAAACAATATTTTTCCGGAAACAATAAGGTCTTCTCTGCCCTGGCTCTTTAGCAGTGTCTGGTTCACAGAATGTGTGCTGAATAAATGTGTAAATAAGCAAATCAACTATGCTGTTGAAATCTCACAGGGACTTTTCTTCAATAATTTATGTTTCCTTTGCAGCCGTTGTAACCTCTCTCTGCTTGTTTAGAAAGAGCCCCAAATAAATAAATCAGAAGTTTAAACGGAAGTAATTTTTTTCTAAATTAGTATGGAGAAAAAGATGTCACAGCCTCAAAGGAAATCTGAAGAAAGGGTGGAAGTTTTCAGACTTAATTGAACAAGAAGGCGGGCAGAAGGCAAAGCAGTCTCACCAGTCCGGATCTTAGCAGGTGCCTCCTGATCCTGGTATTGTTGAAATACCCAGCCAGGTGTTTATCTGTGAGGCTATTATATGTGGCCAGTAACCTGGAAGAAAGAAGAGAAACCATTAATATCTTAGGAGGGTTGCTTGATAACCGAGGCCATTCTTGGCAACACTGCCTAAGCCAGTGACACATTTATAGACCATTTTAACAGCTGACAGACTGTTTGTTCCAGGTTTTGTGATAAGAGGCACTAAGAGGTCTTGGTTTGGGTTAGACAAAGTTGAAAGCCAGAAATTAACAGTTAAATGCCAGTGAAAGCCCCAAAGACAGAAATGTGTCTCCAGTCTTTGGAGATGAAGCCACCCAGAGAGAACTTAGTAGTGGCGCATGGCAGGGAAGCGACTTCTTTAGCAAGGCCGGGCCTCTTCTGTGCACCCTTAAACTCAGACACCTCACACACCATGCTTCTCTTGTGCCAGCAGAGCACACATTGAAAGACCAGCCTCCATCTGTCAGGGATCGGTGGAATGGTGACACACAAGTGCCCCCTCAGAAAGTGTCCCTGGTGTGCCCCTGATGTCCACATGACCTTTATTTCACCGTGGGGAAACCCCCTCATTACGTTTCTCATTCCACAAGGCTCTGAAGCCCAAGTGCATACTGTGATTCTCAACACCCTACCTGATGTTGTCTGTTGTGATCCCAAGCAATAACATGCTAAGAAAATTAAAACGTTATATTCTTATTTCATTACTTCTTATGGACATAAAGTCCCAACTTTTAGCTTACCAGTTTTGATTTGTTGACTTACTCATAGTTAGCTAGACAATTTCATTAATCCAATATCTAGTACAAAACTTCAACAAATAGATTAATTATCTTAATTTTTAGGATGTCTTATTTTAAAAATTAAAGGAAGTCAGATGTAGTGACACACACCTGAAATCCTAACACTCCACTAGAGACCCAGGAGCAGGAGAATTTCAGTTATAGGCTCCCTCAACTTAGAACAAACTGAACCCTTGGCTACATACTATACCCAGTTCAGCCTATGATTTAGAGTTGGAAACTAAAAATTACTCTTTTAAGATTTATTTATTGATTTTACATCCTGGCTACAGTTTCCCTCCTTCCTCTTCTCCCAGTCACCTCCTTCCCTACCCCTCCCTCTCCCCCTGTTCCCATCCCAATCCACTCCTCCTCAAGGAAAGTACTCTTCTAACCTACTTATTATACATCTCAGAAAATGTGCATATACATACATGTGTGCAATGCAGACATTTATCTATGTATGTACACAGCAAGCAAGCCTCACCACAACTCAGTCCTAAAAATATTCATATACTGCAACAAAGATTTACAACCCGAACAATGGGCTGGCTTTTAGCTTCTTCTTAGCCAAGAGTAGGGACTCGTCTTACAGTCTGGAGAAAATGTTAGCAACAATTTTATTTGGCTGTTTGCAAGAACTTAATTATGTGGAGATTAAATTAGTGACCTTTTCCTGTCTCTTTTCTCCTTAACAACCCATCGCAGCAAAGTTCCATGCTGCCAAATGGTCAGGAAAGTTTAATTTTGTCGACAAAAGAGACTGAAAAGTAAAGAAACCAAGGTACACATGAAGGCTACAGACATGAACAACGGCAGAAACCATTATTTCCCTGGGTTTATGTAAAAGGACAACCCAAGAAAGAGTCTCGTGGAGGCTCACACAAAACCAGCCTCAGATGCTGCTTTGAAGACATCTTTTAAATGAACTGTCTTGGTGTCCTACAGTTCATCAAAGGTTTGCTGTCTCTGAAAGGTCAGCCTTATATCCCTTACCCTTTCTGAATCTCAGAATCTCTTTTCAGTTCTTCATTTCCAAAAGGTGAGCAGGTGCCTCTCAGGCCTAACAATCATGATTGCACAGTTCACAGATTCTTAAGATAAATCATTACAAGAATATCATATACAGTCTTTTGTCTGTCTTGCAGATCCAAGCTTTAAAAAAAATTTAAAAATCAATACTTTTGGAATAGCTAGGGGGTGTTTAAACCCTGATTAAATGAGGTGAGGTTAAAAACTTGGGAGACAAGGGCATCAGCCTCACTATTGATGAACAAAATAGCCCTTCTTTTAATTCAGGATCTGTAGCTTTTGAATATTTAGGTTCTAATAGCAATGCACAGTCAACTTTGTTATCACCCAATTATAGTCCTCTGTTCTCTCAGCTCCTTCCAGAGGAATATGTGGGCATGATTGCCCAGCCCTGGTCCCACAACATGGAGGCCTAGGTGTGCAGCATATCCCACCCCTGGTCCACAGAGACTGGAGGGGAATGCACAATGCCTCCACTCGCCAGCCCCACTGAGGCTGAAAGAGAGCGAGCTGCAAACTTTTATACTCATCTGCTTTCTTTTCATTCTGATTTAGAGGAAAATGCAGGTCCTGGTTGGGATTTTATTTGTAAAAATAACTCCTTCCACAACAGGCATTACATGTCACACAAACACTTGGCAGACATATCAGTCCACCAGGATCACTCAGCAGTAGGGATTACTTTTTCAGACAATGAGTAAGTTTGTCTTTAAGCTGGAACCATAAATTAATAAATTAGTTGATAATGAGAAATCGTATCAAGTAAATGATGTACATCTAGTGTGATGGTCACCTTTCAATAGATCCTTAACAATGTCTGCCTGGTTCTGATCGCCAAGCCTCATTTTCTAGGGAAATGGTCCCTGTCAGTACAGGCAAAACTGCAGTCTATGTGAGTCCTTTCTCTCCTCTTTACATGTGTTTGGCATGGTCTCAGCCTCCCTTTGATTCTAATGAGCCTTTGCTCCTAGTAAGCCAGTGAAGCATAACTCAAAAGCATAAACTGTGTGTGTGTGTGTGTGTGTGTGTGTGTGTGTGCACACATGTGTGTGTCCTTTTTTCCCCCTTGGTTCTGGAGAACAAACTTTGTACATGACAACACCAGCTCTCAAGATCAGCCCAGCCACAGACATGGGTCAGCAGAGCTCTGTTTTGCCTGAATTCAGGATAAATTTTCCAATTTTATTTTCTGTATTGGGTCAGATAAGGTTACCTGACATGGGCCTGGTGACTGGACTACTTCTCCCCCACGCACACATCACTTGTCAAACGTGACCTTCCTGGTGGACACTGTTGCTGACCTGTGATTTCCCTGGCTCCCTGTCCATCACTGACCCCATCTGGATCACCTCACTAAAAGGCCATGCCGTTCACACAGAGCCCACCAATCCCCATCCCCACCAGTCTAGCTGCCTTGGTTTTTTCGATGGACAGCTCCTGGTTTCCAGTAGGGAAGGTCCACTCTCCCAAGTTTCTAGTAGGGAAGGTCCACTCTCCAGCACCTGAGGGAACAAAGCATGCATGTGTTTGCACTGCTTCCTGTCCCTCTCCCATGCACACCCTCTCCTTCAGAGCCAGTGCTGAGTAACTGGGGTCCTTCTTTCCCAGCTTTCAGTGCACATACCTGAACCCTCACCTCCCACCATGCAGGATATACAAGCCCCAAACAGTGAGTCTATCCCACAAAAATCTCACAGAAAGAAAGGCTCTGTAGTCACCATTAATCACCAACATTTATTGAGATTCCTGTTATTTTTAGATCATTCTGTAAGGGTGTGTGCAGAGATATCACAGACACTGCACTCAAGAGTCCCAAGCCAGCCAGAGAGACATGTAACACCACCCCCCACCCACCCCCACTCAGCCCCCCACCCCGGGGGGGGGGGGGTAGAGCACATGTGCTAATGTGAACTCACATTTGCCCTCTGCCTCCATCTCAAGAGTGCTGTGGAATGTCTTTGGTGTTTTGGTTCAGTGTATACAGCTGTTTACACACAGTCTTGATGACAAAGTTTGAATTCAAGATCTCATGGGGTGACAGGAGAGAACAAATACCTGAGAGTTGTCCTCTGACCTCCACATGTGTGCCCTGGCATGTGCAGTCTGCATGTTTACACACACACACACACACACACACACACACACACACACACTAATTAATTATAAAGCACACCTAGGGTCCTGAGAGATGAGAAACAAGGAACATGCCAGCTATTCCAGATTCTAAAATGGAACCCTCCCAAACTAGATGACTACTCAGTGTCCAGCAGTCCTAAGAACTCCTTCCAAAGGCAGTAAGTAATACCTTTTCCTAACCACATTAATGAGCGCATTTCTCCAGGCTGTAGCACAGCTTCACCACAACCCACTTTTCCCCCACACTGTCATCCTTTGGGAGGGGCTAGGGCTAGACAGCTGTTGACAGGAGTTTCTGTACCACCCTGTCCTGTAGCCATTCAGTCCCAAATAAACACACAGAGGCTTATATTGATTATAAACTGTTTGGCCCATTGCTCAGGCTTATTACCAACAAACTCCTACAGCTTAAATTTACCCATAATTCTTATCTATGTTTAGCCATGTGACTAGGTACCTTTTCTCAGTAAGGCATTCTCATCTTGCTTCCTCTGCATCTGGCGGGTGATTGTGTCTCTGCCTTTCCTCTTCCCAGAATTCTCCTAGTCTGGTAGCCCCACCTATAATTCCTGCCTGGCTACTGGCCAATCATTGTTTTATTAAACCAATGCCATTGACAAACCTTTACAGTGAACAAGAGCATTATCTCACATCAGATAGCTGCTCGCAATTTGGTCCATCCCCACCAATACCAGTCCCGTCCCAGGAGCGCGCGGCCTGACTGCCTCTTCCTCAGTCTTTCTGCTTCCACACACACCAGCATAGAAACACAGACCAGCGAAGAGCTCCGACCATGAACAATAGAGAGTGCTTTCTTCCAGTTTCACACTGAGCCTTCATTTCCATGGGAGGCTGCATGGAACGGCTCTAACCTTTGGAATGCTGGAGCACTCTGTATACATGTTCACTAGCAAGATGGAAGCCTTTTCCCAGCCAGCTTTCACACACCTTTTGATGCAACATTGTAAAGATGTACAGATTAAAATATACGGGATTCGGTTAAATATGGGTTAATTTTATTTGGGGAGAAGTCACTTACATAAGAAACCGATGACTCTGAAAGTTCCAGCTCCAAGGATCCACACCCAGGCTGCTCTCCATGACCCAACTGGAACCAAGAGAAAGAGCACCTGTCCTGGACCCCAGACCAAATACCACAAGCTCATGTAAGCAACTGTGACCATGCCCAAATGGACGTGGTCAGTGCCACAGGTGGGGATGGATTAATCTCTCACTACAATATTGGCTTTTCCTTTGTGTGTGTTCATCCTGAAGTCACCCTGGTGAGATCTAGGGTCACCATGGAAACAGACCTCTGGGCTTGTCTGCAAGAGAGTGTCTAGATTGTGTTGATGAATGTGGGAAAGCCTGCCCTAAATCTGGGTGGCACGATTCACGAGACCAGGTCAAAGCATGAAGCAACCTGAGAACCAGCATCCATCTCTCTGCTTCCAGACTGTGAATGTCAAGTGACCCACCACCTGCCCAGTAATAATGACGTCACTCTTAAACTGTGACCCAGAATCAATAACCCTTGCCTTCCTCACAGAGCTTTTGCCAAGTGTTCTGTAGCGACGCCAAGAATAGCAATGAAGGCACACACCTAGCATGTGCCTCAAAATGCTTCCAATTCTGTCTGCTATGCAGCTCCACACCAGCAGGTACTGATGCCAACTGCACCTCATTTTCTGCACCAGTTTTTAATAGACTTGGGCTGCTACCATGGGATACTACAACCCAAGAGGCTTAAAGGACAGACAGACAGACAAGTATTTCTCACTTCTTCAGAGCTTTGTGTGCTGAAAACCTGAGGTCCAGCTGCTGTGTGATGGAGAACCTGGTGAAGGGCTGTTTGCTCAATGTGCCCTCAAATTACAGGGGACTGACAAGGGCAGTATCCCCCTGGTTGTACAAAAGCAACAATTACCCATGCTTTAATCACTTCCCTGGAGCCCACTTTCAACACCATTCACAGTTGGAATTGGAGTCTCAGCTTGAATAGTAAGAAATTCAGTACAGAAGGAAAGGCACGACCACCACATTTTACAGGTAAAGAAACAGCGTTAGGTTAAGTCACTGGCCACATAAACTTTAGGAGGAGCCTTCTCTATTGTTTATCAAATAAGTGTGAACAGCTCTTGTCAGGTCTTGCTAATATGGCAACTGGAGGTTGCTAAGTGTCTTTATTTTAAACACAGGGTGTGTCACTGATCCTGCAGCTCATTGCTTTGGCAAGACTAACCAGTCAGCTGGCCCTAGGGAGCCTCCTGTCTCTGCCTCCCCAGTGTCACACAGACCACTGCACTGGGGTGTTCACATGAATTCTGAGGACTGAATTGAGGCCCAAGTTTTAAGGATTGAACCGTGTTCTTAGCCTGACATGAAAATTCATATAAACTAAATTGACAAATATGTGATTTTCATTTATAGTTAGCCTTTAGCACCAAAAACAATGTGTTAAACCTTTAAAATAGCCAATACCTTAAACATAAGTTTCTTTAGTCTGCTTTAAAAAGACTTATGGAGAGGCTAGAAAGAATATTTTATTTTGGTCTGAGGCACAGTGGTGTACATATGTAATCCCAGCAGTCAGGAGGCTAAAGCCAGATTATAAATTCAAGGTGAGCGGGAGCTACAAGAGCAATCCTCTCAGAGAGAAGGAGATTTTGACACAACCAGTGTAGTTTTACTTTAACCAAATGTGATAATTAACCCATCTGAACTAATGTCATTAGTATTCATTCATTGCTGCTTCTGTAACAACATACCAAGGGCTAGTAGCTCACGTAGCCCCTCCTATCCTTCCTGCCTGGCTATTGGCCAAACAGTGTTTTATTCATCAACCAATAAGAGAAACACATATACAGAAGGGCATCCCCCCATCAAAGAGAATTTTCCTTATTGAAAATGTCAGGGAGTAAGAGCATTGGATGGCAAAAAGAGACCACACTTAAGTGGTAACGGGTGGACAATGAGCGTTCACACAACTGAACAGCACTTTCAAACAGACAATTCCTTCTGTTTGTCAACCTGGCCTAGATACTCTAGCTAGAGGGGAGAACTCTGAGTCAGGACCCAGCAGTGTTCTACAAGGTGGAAATCAGGTCTCAGTCGTGGCCTGGAGTAGAATCCACAAAGCCAGGCCCGGCTCCCATGCCTGTGTGAGGGACTGCACAACACTGCACACCTGTCCGGTTCCGTTGTTCACTTGTTTTGTTACTTTTCCAAAGAACACAGGCTGGTCTGGACTCAGAGCTCTGCCTGCCTCAGGCTCCTGAGGGGTGGGATTGTTTTAGGTTTCCTGGTTGCATTTCTTTTCCTCGTCTTCTTTTCACTCTCACTTTAGTGTAACCTGTCTCTTGTCCTCTCTTAATCTTTATTATTCCTCTCACATACACTCTGTCTGCTGATATTCTTTTGATGCTCTTGAACAAACTGAGCCTCCTTCTGCTTTTCTCCTCTCAGCCCTCAGGACCAGCCGTCTCATTGTATACCTTACTGCCATTGCTCTTTTTCTCCCCCAAAGTTACTCGTGTCCAGGAAGTTATTGCTGGCAGTTGGTTATTACGAATTTTCATAGTGGTCTCATCCACCAGCTATGGTGCTTACAGGCCTGGAGTCTGGTGGATGGAGATCATGCAATACCCTCAGCCTGAGGATTGAGAAATAAGCTGCTAGGATGCCTCAGCTTAGTCTCGGAGAAGGAAATCTTAAGTCTACTATAACTTAGTTCTGCTTAAACACTGCAGAACTTCTCCTGAGAGAAGACAGGTCATTTTTAAAATTCCAATCATCGATCTTATCCCAGAATCACAGATCTTACTTGAGAAATACAAGAATCAAGGAAATGCAGCTCCCTCAAAACTCACCAATTTCACAAAAATCGACTCCAATGAGAGCAATTTCAGTGGTGTTCTAGACAAAGAATTCAAAAGGATGGTTAAAGAATATTCAGCAATATAAAAGAGATCATGAAAAATCATTGAGCTCAGAACACAAACACCTGAATGAAAGAACAAAGTAAACATGGGATATGAAGGAGGAATTTAGTAAAAAGATAGAAAGCCCAGGAAAAATAAAAGTGAAATTTTGTGAGGAGTTTAGTAAGTAGGGCAGGTATAGGGGTGCTATTTAGGCTTTATCAATAAAATGGGTGAAGTAGAGGAAAGACTATCAGGATGTGAAGACAAAGCAGATGAATTTTTAAAAATTCAGACAGTGACAAAGACAAAACAGTAATAAGATATGAACAAAGCATGCAAGAAGTATAGGACTCATTAGAAAAATCAAATCTATGAATCATGGCCATAGAGCAAAGAAGTCAAAACCAAAATTAATCAAATGAGATCAAGAAGGTTGCCTCATGTTGATGAAGGAGCCAATCCATCTAGAGGGCATTATAGTTCTAAACATATTTGTACCAAACATTGGCATTCAATTTCACAAGCACTACTGGATATGAAGGCACAGACTGATGACAACACAATAACGGGGGTGATTTCAACAGTCCACTATCACCTATAGACAGGTCATCCTAACAAAAAGAAAAACAAAATCAAAGTATTCATAACATTATAGATCAAGTGCCCTGAGTGTCTCAGACTTAGAGCACACATTCTTCTGGTCAACTCATGCTACACTCTGTGAAACAGAACATATTTTAAGGTATAAAGCAAGCTTTAACAAAAATTAAACAATTAAAGTGATTTCTTGATTTTCATCATATTCCAGTGGAATTAAATTAGAAGTCAACAGAAAGAACTGTAGGACATGCACGAACCGGTGGAGGTGAAGTGATGCTTGTGAATGAAAACAGACCACTGACAAATGGGAGGGAAGTTTCCAAAATGCCTACAGTAGAAAGAAAATGAAAATAGAGCACATCAGAACTGCTGTCATGGATAAACATGGTTCTAGAAAGGAAGGTTATAGACACAAACACTAAAATAAAAAAATACATTTATCAGGGAACTCTCGCATAACTCAATGAATGCATTTCAAGGTCTCAGAATTCAAGAATGGCTGAACATAAAGACATTAAGTAGAAAGGAATAATGAAGGTCATGGCAGAGGTTAATGAAGTGGAAATCTGTATGAAGAATAAATGAAACAATGAGTTGGTTCTTCAAGCAACAAAAATGCTGGTGAGGAAGAGAAAACTTCATACCACTGGTAGGAATGGAAGCCAGCATGAAGGCTCCTCAAAGAGCACAGTTAGAACTTCCATCTGGCCCAGCTATACCACCTGTAGGTGCACACACAAAGGACTCTCCTCAACACACCACAGAGGTGTGAAGGGTCCTCAAAGACCACAGTTAGAACTTCCATCTGGCCCAGCTATACCACCTGACCCTGTAGGTGCTCACACAAAGGACTCTCCTCAACACACCACAGAGGTGTGAAGGGTCCTCAAAGAGCACAGTTAGAACTTCCATCTGACCTAGCTATACCATCTGACCCTGTAGGTGCACACACAAAGGACTCTACTCAACACACCACAGAGGTGTGAAGGGTCCTCAAAGAGCACAGTTAGAACTTCCATCTGACCTAGCTATACCATCTGACCCTGTAGGTGCACACACAAAGGACTCTACTCAACACACCACAGAGGTGTGAAGGGTCCTCAAAGACCACAGTTAGAACTTCCATCTGACCCAGCTATACCACCTGTAGGTGCACACACCACAGACTCTCCTCAACACACCACAGAGGTGTGAAGGGTCCTCAAAGACCACAGTTAGAACTTCCATCTGACCCAGCTATACCACCTGTAGGTGCACACACCACAGACTCTCCTCAACACACCACAGAGGTGTGAAGGGTCCTCAAAGACCACAGTGAGAACTTCCATCTGACCCAGCTATACCACCTGTAGGTGCACACACCACAGACTCTCCTCAACACACCACAGAGGTGTGAAGGGTCCTCAAAGACCACAGTTAGAACTTCCATACGACCCAGGTATACCATCTATACATGCACACAGGACTCTAGACAACACACCACAGAGGTACCTGCGCTACCATCTTGGTGAAGTACTATTAACAATGAGCCGAGGGTGCCCATCAAAGATGAATGGAAAGTGGAATGAAATTGTATCATTTTCTGGAAGACAGATATAACTGAAGGTCATGATACAATGATCCACACAAGATAGTTATTGACAACCATGATAACCATCCCAATTAAGAGCTTGAGTGCTTTTTATTGATGGCCAGACTAAAAGTAGGCTTGTGCCTCTGCAAAGTCTCTTGGTGCCCCAGCTCAGGCATAGAGTTTTTAAAGGCAAAAACTGCAAAGATGTATCAAAGTTAGATGAGTGTAAGACCAACCTTGACACACTCATTCATGGTAGCGATATAGTCATTTTAGACATAACTTGTCAATTATATTAGTTAATACATCTGGACACTAGTCCAAGCCATGAAGATTTCAAGTGTGTTGCCAAGGCAGACATGACTGTTGGGAGAGTGTGTAGAGGGCTGAGAACTGTCTAAACATAAAATGTAGTCAGGACAGGATCGTGATATCTTTTTTGTTTGTTTGTTTGTTTGTTTTGATTTTTCCAGACAGGGTTTCTTTGTGGCTTTGGAGGCTGTCCTGGAACTAGCTCTTGTAGACCAGGCTGGTCTTACAGAGATCCGCCAGCCTCTGCCTCCTGAATGCTGGGATTAAAGGCATGTGCCACCACCGCCCAGCAGGATCGTGATATCTTAGGCCCTTCGTTTCTCCATTTTATTTGTTGTTGTTGTTGTTACTTTGAAAACTTTAATTTCAGCTAAGGTGTAAATACTGAGTTCTGAGAATTATTAGCTTAACAATGCAAGTTTTGTTTGATGAATTTTAAAAGGCAATTTATTCATAAAATTACTGTAAAAGATACAAAGGTATATTTAAAGACTAGAAACATCAGTTTTATGAAATGAGTTGTTCTCTGATGACACGTGAGACACGTGTTAAATATTCTAAAATTTTCAAGATACTGTTGGCCTAAAATTGGTGGGTGGATTCCTATCACTGAAATTGATAAATATCATAAATCCAGGATCTTTTTTATTTACTGAAAATCCAGATTTAGAAGTTTGAACAGAAAGAAAAAGTGATGAGATTCACCCAAGGGAAATAGACCATATAGCCCATGACATATGTGTATATGGAACTCTGCCTGACATCTCACATGCAATATGAGTGCTCAGTTATCTCTTCTATTCCCGACCTCTCACATAAGAACATAGGACTCTGCCAAGTACAGAGCCATTTTCAGCCACATTTCCATTAAGAAATATCATGCAAGGTATTTCTTTACATCACCATAAAAGGAAAGTTTCACTTTGCCTGAATACAGTATTTTATGCTGAGTAGAATAGAACAAGTGAGACTTGTGAGAATAAGCACAGTTTTATTGTTAAAAGATGAAAACTCTGGTTGAGAGGTGATTTGCATTTCAGATGACACTAAATTTGCAAATTGTAGCATTTGATAGTGTTCAAAGAGGGTCTGTGTCAAACCTCTCCTGCCCACTCAGGCTTCTAAGTCAGACCAGTGTAATGTGTCTGCCGCTCAGGAATCAAGTGCCTGCATCAGATGGCTTGTTCAGCAGAGCTCAGACAGTGCTGACTTGTCTGCCTGTACGTCACCTTGCAGTTAATGACAGAAAGGCATTGTCTCTTGACCCAAATTCTTCATCCATTTGCCTACTCAAAAATTTGCTAGATCACATGGAATTCCAGCCCCAAGAACAAACTTGTTATGTTTATCTCAGTCAACCAAGTCTAAGGTTTTAATCTCATCAAGACAACTCACAAAGAAGTAAATGTATCTAAATTGAAATACCATCTCCAAACAAAATAGCCAAGAGTGGTGTCAGTAAGCAGAACAAAATGATCATTCTAATCTAGAAATTTTAGTTTTCTGTCCTTGAAAATTTCATGACTGCTATGTAAAATGTTAGGAAATTTAGAAAGCATGAGAGCATACATCACCTCTAACGAGTTATAGTAACTTTTGTGCCATTACTGACAGCAGAGAATTCCATATTGCTCCCTACTTAATGCAAAATTTGATGAAATAAATACAGGATAAGAACCAGAAACATGGTTCTAATCCCACTGCCACACTCATCCCGTGGCTCTGAAGAACAGCATCTTCTTCCCTTGACATTCATCAAGGCCTACTTCCTGCCATGGAAAATTTGCCTTCAAGTCTGAAGGTATATTTACTTGGAGGTCTTGGGATTCTGTTTGAATATAAAATTTACATACATAATGGCCACCTAGGATCTAGTTAGCCCAGTCATTTTATTCAGGATATTGAACTTCTGAAAGTGAGTATGTTCCATTAATAGACACTAATCAAAAGGTTAAAAAAAAAAAAACAAGCTAGATGGGGAAAGAAAGCATCTTCAACCAATGGTTCTGGAATAACTGCTGTCCACTGTAGGGGAGGCTGTAGCCACGCCTTCTTAGGGGCTGGCTACAGGGGTACCTGAGCAGGCTTGTGAGGGTGTGGTCAGAGTGAGTAGGGGGACTGTGTTTTTGGTTTCGGTCTCTCTTTGCTTTTTGTTGTATAGACTACCACCGGCTGGCTGGTTCGCTCTGTAAGTAAGGCTTTTCCCTATTAAATACCCTTATATTTCTACCTGACTCTGTATTGGTAATTTCCTCCTATATCTGGTGTCAGAAGTGGGATACGAACCCACGCCTCCATACGGAGACCAGAATTTCCTACTATAGTCCACATGCAGAGGACTGCAGACAGACCCAGGTCTTCCCCACGCACAACACTCAAGTCCAAGTGGATCAAAGGCCTCAACATCAATCCAGTTACACTGACCCTGATAGAAAGAAAGGTGGGAAGTAGCCTTGAACACATTGGCACAGGAGACAACTTCCTGAACATTACACCAGTAGCACAGAAACTGAAAGCAGCAATCAATAAATGGGACCTTCTGAAACTGAAAAGCTCTGTAAAGCAAAGGACACAGTAAATAATACAAAATGGCAACTTACAGAACGGGAAAAGATCTCCACCAATCCCACATCAGATAGAGGGCTGATCTCCAAAATATATAAAGAATTCAAGAAACTAGACATCAAAATACCAAATAATCCAACCTCAAATAATCTACCTCATGACCCAGATATACCGCTCTTGGGCATATACCCAAAGGATGCTCAATCACACCACAAAGACACTTGCTCATCTGTGTTCATAGCAGTATTATTAGTAATAGCCAGAACCTGGAAAGAACCTAGATACCCCTCCCGAAGAATGGATAAGGAGAATGTGGTATATTTACACAGTGGAGTATTACTCACCTGTAAAAATAATAATAATAATGGCCTCATGAAATTGGCAGGTGAATGGATGAAACTAGAAAAAAATCATTCTGAGTGAGATATCCCAGACCCAGAATGACAAACATGGTATGTACTCACTCGTAAGTGGTTATTGGCTGCAGAGTATGGGATAGCCATGCTATGCCCCACGGCCCCAGAGAGGCTGGATAACACGCATGGCCTGGCAAGGGGTACATGGATTTCCCTGGGAAGGGGAAATGAAGGGACTCTCCTGGATGGCCTGGGGTGGGGGAGGGGGAAGGAGGGATGGGAACTTGAGGGAGCATGTTGGACAGGCTGGTTGGACAGGCTGGGTGCTAGGGGTGGGTGGAAGGCGGGACTGTGGGGGAAGATAAGAAAGAGAGGACTTGATGGGCAGCATTTTGGGGTTAGGGAGAAAACTGGCGCCAGGGAAAGCGCCAGGGATCCACAAGGATAACCCCAGCTTAGACTCCTAGCAGTAGTGGAGAGGGTGTCTACCCTATTCAGATTGGTGACCACCCAAATTGTGATTAGAGATATTCTATCCAGTAATTGATGGAAGCAGATGAGGAGATCCACAGCCAAGCACTGGGCTGAGCTCTGGGAGTCTTGGTGAAGAAAGGGAGGAGGGATTGTACGAGCCCAAGGTCATGACAGGGGAACTCATGGACTCTGGATTAGGAGTTTGGGAGCCTCCAAGGGACTGACCTAGGTACTCTGCATGTGTGTGTGTGACAGTTGTGTATCTTGGACTCTTTGTGGAACTCCTAGCAGTGGGATCAGGACCTGTCCCCGGTGCTTAGCTGGCTTCTGGGAACCTGTTCCCCATGCTAGATTACCTTGCCCAGACTTGACACACAGGGATGAGCTTGTTCCTGCCTCATCTGGATGCACCATGCTTTGCTCAAGCCCATGGGAGGCCTGCCCCTTTCTGATGGAGATGGAGAAGTAGAGGAGGAGGGGCAGACACACGACTGAGAGGAGAGGAGAGAGGAGAAACTGGAGTTGGTGTATAAAATAAATGCAAAGAAATATTATCTAAATTAAATCTTAAATTTTAAAAATAAATAAATACAACAAGCTACACTGTCCCAGGAGTGACCGCAGAACAGCACTTTTGGACTTCATGCCTCTACCAGAGCAAGGGCCAGGCATGTGCTCAGTGACTTTGGACTCCTTCCTGTTTCCCTTCCATAGCATCTTATGAGAAGCCGGGCACCACCCAGGAAATTCCTAGACAGCAAGTGAGTCAATCAGTTAATGGCAACAAAATGCATTGCTGGTGCTTAGATGCATATTCACACCCTTTACAGAAAGCCACAAGTGAAGGACACGGCCTTCCTTTTATTATCTCAGAGCAATAGCTGACAGCATCCTGGCAGAAAAAAAAAAAAAAAAAAAAAGGGCTTGAAGCCATGTTGCATCATCCCCCTCTGGCTTTGTTAGCATGCAGACCATCCCAGGGGGTCAGCACTGCGACAGTGTTAAGTGGGGGCCTTTTGGAAGCACACACAACCACCTGGGGAAAGTCTCCTGAGGGACAGGAGGGAATATGTCCTTCCGAGAAAGAAAGGTGAAGAAAGACCAGTGCAGAACAATAGACATGAAGGTTGATTATTTTCCAGCCTTTATAAGAAAACTCTTTGCCAAATAAAATCAGAGCCGACTCTGCAACCCGCTACTTTGTAGGTAGTGATTGAACTGATACCATCCCAACGGTCTCATCACTCATTCTATTTTATTTGTTTCCAAACCTGCCAGGGTCTCGGCAATTATGCTAAATATCGATTTACAATTTCTCTCAGCTCATTCTAACAATGCAACCAGAGGAGAGCCATAATATTATTTTATTTATAGCCTTAATACAGTGGTTTGAAATGACTAGTTAACACCCAGGTCTCCAGCTGTGCCAGAGCTGTTTTAAGGAGCTCTAAGATCAGGCATTAGGAAACCTTGTATGGCAACGTGCCTGGGACACAAATGCTCCACGCAAGATGCGTTGTATGGCTCTAAGATCTTTTAAAAATTTC